CTCTGAGCTCGGGTCCTCTACCAGAGGCCTGGGAGCATGAGGGTCCTGCAGTATCTTGGCTGTGCCAAGGACTGCACATTTCTGGACTGAGATGTCTGATGTTGTTCCTGGGATCTGTTGTAGCCACTGCTCCAGTTTGGGGGTTACTGATGACCACAGGTACCACTGTGGTCTTCACCTTCCAGGCCCTCTCCAGTTCTTCCCTGAGGCCCTGGTATTTCTCAAGTTTCTCGTGCTCCTTTTTCCTGATGTTGCAATCACTTGGTATTGCTACATCTACCAATGGCTTTCCTCTGTTGTTTATCCACTACGACAATGTCTGGTTGGTTCGCCCTTACCATTTTGTCTGTCTGGATCTGGAAGTCCCACAGGATCTTAGCTCTGGTGTTCTCTACCACCTTTGGGGGTGTTTCCCACTTTGATCTCGGGGTTTCCAGTCCATATTCTGCACAGATGTTTCTGTACACTATGCCTGCCACTTGGTTATGTCGCTCCATGTACGCTTTCCCTGCCAGTATCTTGCACCCTGCTGTTATGTGCTGGACTGTCTCAGGGCCTCCTTGCACAACCTACACCTTGGGTCTTGTCTGGTGTGGTAGATCTGGGCCTCTATTGCTCTGGTGTTTAGGGCCTGTTCCTGGGCGGCCAGGATGAGGGCCTCTGTGTTGTCCTTGAGTCCAGCTTTTTCCAGCCATTGATAGGATTTACTGATATCAGCCACTTGGGTTATTTGCTGGTGGTACATCCCATGTAGGGGCTTGTCCTCCGATGATGGTATCTCTGGCACCTCAACCTCCGTTCCCTGTTGTCTGAGACATTCACTGAGCACATTGTCTGTTGAGGCTTTGTCCTTGATGTATCTATGGATCTTAGATGTTTTGTCCTGGACTGGATTTGGGGTATATATGTATATGTGTGTGTGTGTATATGCAATCTGTAAGATGACATATTCATGCACACGTGAATAACCATGGCAAAGATAGTGAGCAAAATTCCACGGAACGAAAACTACTAAGGGATGTCTCCACAGATCACTGGAGCTTTACGCAGGGATTGATTGAAATGTTACAGACAAAAGAGAAAAACTCAGCTTCTGTCGAAGAGACACTTGAAGTCAGACTGAAGTGTGCTACCGACACGCTGGGAAATGATCAGTCAAACCAGAACCATACTGATTAGTCAGATGCCAGTTGAGACACTGCTTACATCTAGAGAAGGATATAAGCGACTTGCAACCCAAGAAGCATTGTCCTTGGGTTGAAACATGGCAGTGGCTTTGGCGCGTCTTGAAATGGAAGTCTTGCCTAATAATGTTGATATAGCAATATTACTAAGCCACAATAAAGGTGGTTCAGGTGTCCTATAAAATTCTTCATTTTCAATTATCTCATTGCTCTGGTTTCCCTTAACCTAATCAGAAACACCTGGCTCATTTATTTCTGTGCAAAACCTAATTTTGTTTTAATTGGAATTTAAAGTATATTTATCATAAACTTTCAAAGTGTTAGCATACCGATTCTGCCGCTAACCTCATTCCCACAGTGTAACCTCCATCTTTTTCTGTAAATGGTAATTCTGCGAACGGATTAAATCAATATGTGCGGCATTTACATTTCACCAGCTGGAGGAGCAGCTGACGGGGACTGAGGCAGAAGAATGTGGAAGAAAAATGTACCGCACTTAAATGCCTCTTGCTTCCTGAAACCCTCTCAGCCAGTGGGATTTGCTGACATCCTGTGGCTTTTGGATTGCGGGGAGGAGAAGAGGCAATCGACCGCAGGGAGGATTCGAGAAGTGTTGCGCAGTCATTAAAATCTCACCTTCACCACCAGCTGTCTCACTTCAGAAATGTATTCTGCTGTTGACCTTTTGTTCGGCTGCTCTTATAAATTGGTAATCGGCACGTGAAATTGTTCTAATAAACATTTCCTTTATAGGTAAGTAGTAATGACTCTGCCAAAACGATGATTACACATATTGTTTCAATAAAATGTTTATTGTACTCCTTCCAGCTGAACAAATGTGCCAACACTTTTTTTTTTTTTTTACTTTTCCAAACAAAAACTGATGCAGGTTCTGGCCCGACTACAGCACTTCTCTGCTGGGAACCTCAAATTCTTGCATTCCAGATGGATGTGCTTTTAGAAATTTCTTTCGTGCCAGTGTTGAGCCACCATATGGTAACTCTGCATTCAGAGCAGCGATTATGGATCCTTAAACTGCCATAACTCACCCACTTTTTTACAGATCTTAATAGTTTGACGTTGGAGTAATGGACCCTCTATTGCGCGATCTCTTCGAGCTTGCACTGCGCTCGAAATTAGCTGTAACTGTGAGGTCTCTTGACATACTGTGCACAGGAGGAAAGCTTTCTTTTCAGTGATAAGTCATCATCAGCTCAAACAGAGACCACAAGTGTAACGTTGTAGGATCCAAGCAGCAATCAGTGCAGGGAACAGTTGATTATCTGACACGGGACATCTGCGAGTTGCAACAGTCATTATATTGCTTGGTTCCTTGAGAGGAACCAAGCAAGACGATGAGGGTGCTATTCCCTTTTTTGCATTATACTGTTGAAGAGAGCAAGACCTTCTCTTCCACTTTGTTGTAGAGATCATGCAGGTTACTTTTCGTTACTTTTCACACGTATGAGATAATAATGTTAGTACTGTGCAGAGCTGGCTTTGCATGGACGAAGTAAAATAAAGTGAAAGTGTGGAATATTTCAACAGTCCGTCCTGCTATTTTTGGTTAGAGTGGCTAACCGCCATGCTAACGCCTCCAACCTCTCGCCTCACCGTCACAGGGTCAGAAATTTAACTTGAGGATTAAGCAAAAACAAAATTTTGAGGAAGGCAACATTTACAACATCTAAGAAGGACAAGTTCAACGGTCTTAATTTGATCCGAGAAGAACCAATTAAAAACATGAACGAAGTTAAAAAGAAGTAACTGAAATAGCTTGCAGTTTTCAGTATTTAGAATTTCATTTATTATTGTTGAGAATAACATTAATTCTCATTGTACATGTGATAAAGTGAATAAAATGTTGTCAGTCATGACAACATTTTATTCAGACATTATTTACAATCAATTTCAATAATACTGCTGCCTAGTAGAGGTGTGTGATATTTAGTTTGGTATTGTTTGAATACCAAGCACATAGAGAGCCAATATTACCAATACCAAAACTTATTATTTGATATATCGTTAAACTTCTAACCTGAGGGTATTTTTGTGATTTTTCCTTTGAATTATTTTGTTAAAATCTTGGACAGAATTATTCAGCTAAAGTTTATAAATGTCTGCAAACTACTTTGATGACATATTTATATTGACATACGGAAACAATAGAAAACTCAAACACATTTGTGTGCAGTCGCAACAAGCAATCACTGTAAAATTCACTCTAATTTCCATTCTGATTTTGTTTTTCTAAAAGAGAATTTTCCATAAGGAGACTTCATGATCCATTTTATTTTTGGTTATGGATATTGTTTATTTTGGGTATTTAATACATCTTCCAGTTCCAGTGTTAAATGTTCTTTACAAAATTAAAGTTTACCGGTCTTTTAGAGGGCAAACTCGAATTATGATGCTATTATCGATACATTCCTTGAAAATTGCCTCGCAATATTATCGTTTATTGTGATATTTACTGCGACAATTTATCGGCCAGTAAAATTTATTACTTTGAAAGACCAAAGAGCAAATCAACCCAACTTAGAATTGAGAAACTACTAAACAGTTTCAAGAGGGAATCTGAAACTAAAGTGTTGATCTGACACTGATAATGACTTAGGATGGATATTATTGATGGTTAGGATTGTCTACTATCTACTTCTACTAATTACTCTGGAGTAATTCGGCTGCTGCAATATGATGTCTATATTACTTGGACTAAAGACGAGGGTTTGTGGTGAGCGATCGTTTGTATTAAAAATGACAGATATTATTCCATGTCCTCAGCAATGAAGTAATGTTCTTTTCACTCTGCCCCACTATGATTTTGGTCTAATTTTTTTTTTTACCGAACTGCGATCATTATATGTGGTAAAAACGGCATTGGATAAAGACCGAGTGTACCCTCCAACATTTTTGGGGGGGAACATCTTCCCAGAAACAAGATTTTTTTTTTATGGTCAAGACCAGGGAAGGTAGAGACGAAGGGAATGAGCTGAACTAAAAGAAAATCAGAGAAAGACAGGCTGCCCATCTTTATAATCCATACTTCTTTTTGAGTGAAATGAAAGAGTTGTATAATTAAGCCAGGACGGCCTCCAAGTCAAACACACCATTACCCCGGTGCGTCTGAGAAAGCTGTCCTGGGGCCGGCTGCCAAAGTAGCTCTGCTGCTAAGGAGGAAAAAGCATGTGGACGCTGCAGCGGTTTAATTTGGTAAACTCATTAAAAGAAACTCTTAAGCCACCCCCCCCCACCCCCCCAAAAAAAAAAACTTAAACAGAGGAAACCTGATTTTTTTTTTATTCCATTACAAAATTAACCTCTTGACTGTCTGAAGGAGAAGTCAAATAGCTGAAATAAGTGTCTTCTTCTGCCTTGCCACTTCATATCTTCACCCTTCACTGTTTTTTCCAGAACAGCGGCCTCATCTGTGAGGAATAATCCTGAGCTGTTTGCTTTTCTCCAGGCTTCGCAACTGAACCTCCTAGAGATTAGACCGCTGCTCCAAAAAGATAATTACACTGAAGTCACGAAACCGACGTGTAACGTAATGCGCGGAGGGACGAAGGGAAGGAGGAAAAAAATGTAAAAAGAAATCATCCGTGAGGCCTTCGTGGAGCCAGACCACCAGTGAAACGCGTGAGAGGAAATATCTGATGGGAATGCAGTTTGTCATGAACTCTGAATGTTTTTCTTTCTTTCCTTCTTTTGTACATTCTTTATGGAATGAAATATTAACGCGCTTCGTCGACGGCAGCCCGTTGAGTTCATCAACGGGCTGCTAACGGAATCGCGCGCTTCCGTTAGCATCTTTTGCGTTCAGTGCGCTCGAGCTCTCTGTGAGATTCTTCCGACGACGCGGCGTAAAAAGCCTCTTAACGAGTCGACTCTCAGCCGTCTGACGACCCGGAGCGCCGTGATTTTCAGGGGCGAGAAGGAGGCACCTTGTGTGCGGCTTCCAGCTAAAGGAGAGGGGGCGAGGGGGGACAGACGTGGCTGAGCCCGTGGAGAAAGGTACGGGTTCAACCAACCTTAAGAGAATGTTGCACGAGGTCACTTTATCGGGAGAAAAGATGAATCTTTCATCTGTTAAAAGTGCACACAAAGGAAGAAAGGAAGAAAAAAAAAAACGACTATTTGCTTAGTGTTTTTGGTCAGGGTTTGTTTGAAACAACCCAGACTGCTAGGAAGTGAAATCACATATTCTTTCTGAAGATGTTTAATGACCCGCTGGCTCTTAGATTTCTCAACTTACCAACAAAATGGCAGCGAAAGAGACGTGGTTATTTCTGGGCTCGCCGCTCCAGGGGTTTTTAAAACTACCTGAGAAAAAGTATTTTTTTTAAAAAAGAATCAACTCTTTTGGATCATTAGAATTTTTACATTTACATGAGTAAACAATCTGCGACATGTATAAAAGTAAATCCAAAGACATCTGGTGCGGGGTAAATACTTTGAATTTGCTTACTTTGACTTGATAAACGCTTACAGAAGATGATAATATAATAATGACAAAAACCCTTTTTATTTCATGACTCAACACCGGCTCTCAGAGATTGTTCCACGCGTCCTTAACTTATGGTTTTGCTTTTATGGACCACACAAGAACATAAAGTCTTGGGTGACGGCATCGTTTGTAAATCAAAGTGTTTTTTGTTTCTGTGAGCATTCACGAATCGAGATTTAAATAAGTCTGACGTATCAATTTATGTTACCTGGAAATATTTTTCTTCCACTGGAGAGAAGAAAAAAAAAGTGGGAGTAACAGAGCGGGGCAAACTGATTGAGACAAACAGAACTCGTTTGCAATCAATTAATTAGCTGTGAACGTTTTTCATGTAGTCAATGATTGATTCCCTAATTAAACTCTTAATCCTTGTTGTTCCTTTATGGGTTTTTTTTAAATTATTATTTATTTTTCTACCCCTAGTGTTAGACAAATCGAAGTCAAGCGTTTTGCACTGCCGTGAAAGTACGGCGCGACAAAGAGACATATCAAGCCGTCACAACGATGGCCAAAAACTGTGACTGCTGAAATTTGTCCCTTCTGACGCACGACACTCACTCGGTTCTAAAACCTCTTTTCCTGCACTAATACTCCAAATTTGCCCATGGAAAGATACGGCGTGCTCCCTTCTAGTTCATCATGTGAAACTTGGAAGATTTTCTGTTTTCTGAGTGGGCTCCAGACATCAATGTTTTCTCTAAATGTATTCATGCACTCACAATGAAACTATTGAATCATAATATGCCAGCGAGACATACTCAGATTAGCAGAAGTTGTTTCTTCCCTATTGCCACATTTAGCAACATGTTCACTTGCGTGATTGACAGCTCTAAGGCCCTCACCCTGGCTTTGGTTGGTTTTTGGGGAGCAAGTGTAGGAGACTGATCTTTTCACAGATTATCTCATAACATACAAATACTAAAATATTTGACACCAACACTGAAGAAAGCGCAAACCAAATACATTTATCTCCTTCACTAACAGGCATGCTGTTTTAACTCGTGCAACTGGGTATTTTCATCGTGAAATCTCCATGAGATTTTCTTTAGTTCCCACATGTTAATTTATTATTAATATGTTTTTTTGTTTTTCTCCTTTTCCCATAAGCCCTGGTTTAGCCAGAAGACACGCAAGAGGTCCAAGTGGCCTCCAAATAAAGGAAGAAAAGAAAAAACAAAGTGACATAGAGCAGAGTCTTTGCTGAGATTCCTCCTCCGAACTGGTCCCCGAATACCCCATGCAGCAGGTGGAAACAGTTGGACGTGGTCAAACGTCTGCATGCTATGAGGACATTAGATGAGTTCATGCTTGTTCCGTGAAATCTTGTCAGTAAGTCGTGCTGAAGTGATGTTTTGAAAATGCACACTTTTGAACTCTCAAGTGTGTGCTTCTCTCCGTCTTTGTGCCAGTTCTTCTGTTTCTGACTCTTGTTTATAATTTTAAAGATAACATTAACTGAAGAACCTGACATATTTTTTTGCATTCCTTTTTCTCTTTCACCACTTCATCATTAGCATATTTTGTGCCAAGAAAAATCCTGGAACTCTGTAGGTGCAGCAGCCAAACATTGGAAGCTTCTTTCCTTCTGCCTTAGTGCTACTCAATAATAAAAAAAGATCCCCAATAACAAGTGGGAAACCTCTGTCTTGTTTGTCTATAATTTGTTTTCTCATGTTGACTCATTAATGGTTCTGCTGAGTAATTGCGTGGCCTTCTGCTGCTCCCTCCCACCTCTTTGATTCTCCGCTAATGCGACTTGGGCTGTTTGCTGCGCTTTCCTGACTCCAAGCCAAGCTTCCCAGCCGTGTAAATGATGAGAAACAGGCAAATCCTTTCCAGATGTTCCAGCCAATAGTCCCTCATTTATCGACTGAGGACTCATAAAGCGAAAAATGAAAGAAAATGGTGATTTCCTCTCCTACTTAAGCAATGCGACTATTCCCTGGTGTTCCCTACTTATGGTGAAAACAGGCCCCATGGCAGCCGGGTTGTCACGGTGTGTGAGGTTATTCATATGTTTAGTATTTTAAAAGCAACAGGCTGTTCGATTTCTAGCTTGTGTTGATTTGAAATCAGAATCTTAATCCCAAATGATGTGATTCAAAATCAAAACTTTTAATTTTGTACGCTGTAAAAAAGAATGTGCACAATATATGGTAAAATACCAGCAGCTGTAAGTAAATATGACCCTTGTGCACAAAGGTCACACGCTTTTTTTTGTGCATGAAGACTTCTTCCCGCCACGAGCCAACAGTTCCCTCTCACATCGACAGCAGGCTCATGTGACGCCACCGCCGTAAATTACAGAGAATTCATCTGGTTATTCTGACTGTTTTGTTTCACGTAATGCCACATGGAGCGACTGATGTGACTCCTGTTCATCTGCTCATATTTTACAACCTGTTACACATATGAATCATTTTTAAGTACTGATACATACCAGATGTATGCAGGAGACAAACAAACAACAAAAAAAATGAAGCTGGTGCTCAGTCAGGTTAGACAGAGGGCAAACCTCCACTTCTATGTTTTCGCTGCAGATGCTCGATTTGGGCAAAAAGTATCGTTTTGGTCTCATTTGCCCAAAGAACCTTCTTCCGTGTGTCTGACGTCTTTCCCTGCAGGCTCAACTTGAGATGTTTGTCAACAGATTTTTCACACCTGAGCTGTGGATCTCGACGGCTCCTCCAGAGTTGCCGTGTCTGTCCTGTCTGTTTCTAATGATTTCCTCCTCTTGCCTCCCACCAGACCGCCAGACATTCCTGTATACATATGCAATTCTGCATCTGCACGTAAGTATTTTTTAAAAGTCCCATAAACACACCCACAAAGTCAAAACAATCTTCAAGATGCATCAGTGAAAAACATTTCAGAAACTCACAACCCCCTGGGATTAAAAATCAATTCTGTCCCATTTTATAACGCAAACTGAACAGTTCCTCCATCCATACACTGCCCCCTTAATACAATCACTATTCATTCAGAGTTGTCTAACGCAGAGTAAAAGGTCATATTGCCATGCTGACTGTTGTCACTTATTTTGCACAAAAAGACAAGATTTTTACACCCCCACGTAAAGTGCATTACAACAATTCTGCGCATCACTGTTTCAAAGCACTTCTCGACCAGAATTTAGCTTTTTTTTCTGATATTCTGCCTCGGCTCTGATCTGACTGTCAAATTTAAGATCTAGTAGCTGAAACAAATCTGAACGGGAGCCGAGCGATACAGGTCTGCTGCTGGCCCTGTTTGCTCCCATAAATAATCCGGCAGCTGTGATTGAGTTTGTATGCTAATGAGGGATGACTTGCACAGAGCTGTGTGACTGGGGGGTAATTCAATTATGTGGTAGTTTATTTGGAAAGAGAAACTTCAAATCAAACCAGGTAACTGTGGAAACAAATGACGCAGTGGGATCAAAATCTCAGCAGCCTGTGAGGTGAATTGAATTTAGCATGTTTATTCTTTCGTGTTTAATTTTTGCCACAAAACTGCGGTTTTGTGGCAAATTAAATTGTTTGAAAAATAAACACAAGTCCACTGGCACACAGAAGGTTTTCCTTGAGCTCTGCTCCACGTATGATTCACATCATTCAGGTAAACAATCAAAGATGTAGGTCAGGGCCGTGCACAGACATTTTGAGAGGCTGGGGCTCAAGTAAAAAAAAAAAATGGCACCTTGAACAACACGTGGAGTTGCCAGCGGATTTTTAATTTGCGCACACTCACAAGAAAATAAATATTTTTAAAGTATTTATAGCTTTAAAGTTATCGGTCATTAAAATAACAACAAAAAAATCCCACATTTTCCAAAGAAATCAGATGAGAACAATTTGATGAATCTGAAATAGAAAACCTTTTCATATCTATATTTGCTTACATGCTCAGGCATGATAGGTCTTGGCTTCAGCCTATTACTTTTTTTGATAAATTATTGTGTTGTAAAAAAAAAAAGTTTCATTTTATCGATTGTTTTACCAATATTATTATTACTTTGTGATTTTGTGAATTTACCATAATGAAGCTAAAATGAATCTACACGTATTAGTGAACGCAACTATAAAGCAATCAATCCCGTAGGGTGCAGTGACACGGCCGCCTGGTAAAATGTTTTTATATTTTTTACATAATTCTTAGAATTAATAAATGATTATGGATTGACGAAAAGGTTCTATGCATCTATTTTGCAAAAAGCTCCCTAATTAGAAACGAGGTCAACAGAGAGAGAGTACATGGATGTTTAACAGTCTTTGTCTTCTTTCAGTCTTGACTTTTTTGATTCCATCAAAAAAAGTCAAACTTAAGCGTGACATGAAGAACAAAACAAAAAGAATGTGGAGCACTGGTGATAAGCCCAGAAATGCTCCTACGGACCACATGCAATACATTGTTAAAAAAAAGAAAGAAAACAATTTCAAAAGGGCACTTTTTCTTCTCTCCAGAGAAAAAAGAGCAGCTGCTCCAGCACCACCTAGTGTCTGGTATATTTGATATAGTATATATTTGATCTTGATTGACAGAACTGCAGCATACCTTGAAAAAAAGAGATGTTTTCTAACACAGAGCTCAAAAAGTACAAAAACAATTCAACACTGTGTGCGACAGAAATCCCAGTCCGACCAGAAATCATGAAATCAGCTCCAGAGCAGAGCTGCCTGTAAGAAGCTCAAACTAGATGAACGCGTGACTTTGTTTCTTACAGGTAATGCTTCATACCGCGCAGCTGCTACTGACTGCTACTGGTTCCCATCATCTACAACAACCGTATGAAGCTCGCCAACACGTCCCGGAGACATCGTCGTTCATCACCGCTTGACAACAGCTCAGGTCAGCATGTCCTTTATTTCAACCTCAGCCTTTCAGCAGAGTCTGCAGACAGAACTCTCTGAACCGGAGTGTCTCATGATTTCCAGTTTCACTGTCAAAAGTCTGGAGACATATGCGAAGATAATTTTGTTGCGTTTATTCGTGTCTCGTTGCCACGCGGTTTCTCCTACCCTGAAAACTGGGACGGCAGGTGTTCAGGAGCATGAGTCAGCTTTTGCAGATTATTGGCGTTTTAAAAAGAAAAAGGTTGCCACTGATGGCAAGGATGACCAAAATAAATGGAAAAAGCTGATTGGCAACTAAATGAAGAGTTTGATTCCTGTAATTTAAATAAATATATTCCTTAACATTTCTTTTGATAGATTTACAGTCAAGGTTCACTCTCAAAAGATGCCTCAGACCAACTTAAAACCCTACACAGGTGGTGGAGGTCAGTGAAGGATGTAAGCCTGAAGAGCTGAGAGAGTGGAGGTGGAGAAGGGGTGGAGGTGGGTTGAGCTCGGCTGAAAAGCGGAGGAAGCCATGAATCTCCATCCAGCTGGGGCTTGGTCGGTAATTGGGCGTGACGTGGCTTGGTCGGGTGTCGATTGGTCATCTGTGAAGAGCGGCACGCACCGATTGCATGATGCAGGTGGGGCTAAAGAGTCTTCCCGTTTGAATTTGCCCCTAGGCTTCATTTGGTGTAAAACTTATATTTTGTCACCAGATTTTCCATTTCACAACAGCTTAGTTCATAAGTAATGAAAATGAAAAGAAAAGTGAGTTTTCAAAACATGATAATCCAACTTTAATGGAAGTTCAGATTTCAGGTCGCCATGGAAAGGTATGTTATTCAAAAAAATAATAATAATTTCACATCAATGGATGACAAAATCCTGTTGAGGTTTTTTGAACTATTTCACACTTGCTCCTTGCTGTAAATTTTGTCATTTCCCTTTTCTCAAACTCCATTCCCAATCTGTCTTTGTTTGATTGGGAAAAAAAAAAGAAAAGGAAAACCCCTCAGTTTGTTTTGCGATGATGAGATTTCCAGCACTTAATAGGACTTATCACTGCAGCACGTTATTGCTGGGACACCTTTGAATTTGAAATCTGCTCATTTAAAAATCCTGCACAAATTCACACCCGATCGATCCTGAATACGTGCCAGACTGGGGAAGCTTGAGTTCAACAGAGCATTGAAGAAACCTTTTGTAAATGTTTTGTTTATTTGAACGGAAATGAATTAAAATGCATCTATTTTGCAAAAGCTCCCTAATTCGAAACGAGGTCAACAGAGAGAGAGTACATGGATGTTTAACAGTCTTTGTCTTCTTTCAGTCTTGACTTTTTCGATTCCATCAAAAAAAGTCAAACTTAAGCGTGACATGGAGAACAAAACAAAAAGGTCAGTCGTGACTAAAATACTTGCAGCAGCTGTCATGTCTGCAACTATATTCCCCAGCAGGTCAGGCAGTGACAAAGCTACAGTAAGAGAATTATTATACATGTCCTAAATGCAGTGGTTTTAGTTTCCTATGTATTTTCAGTGTTCCTCCAGTCTCTCTCTGATATTCGAGCTTTGATTTTACACTCTGAGCTCTTTAAGCCAGGAGGAATCATTTCACAGCTGTTACATTTCAGAGCAACAGCATTAAAATGCAAATGCAAAATATTCAATCAGCTGCAGAGTTCATTACTAAACTGACGGACGAGGCCATGAAGAATTATCCCTCGTATTACCATCAAACAACTTTTAACTGATTACCATAAAGCTCCTGCGAAAGA